ATATTTTCCCGACCCTTGGAAACTATCCATTATCAAAATGATACATAAACCCAAAAAGCCACCAGAATACCCATCCTCTTACCGTCCTATCTCTCTTTTACCCATCATGGGAAAAGTCCTAGAAAAACTCATCCTAAAACGCCTGTACCCAATCCTAGATTCTAATCACATAATCCCAGATCACCAGTTTGGATTCCGCAGATCCCATTCCACTATCCAGCAATGCCATCGTGTGGTGGATGTTGTCTCCTCTGCATTAGAGCGCGGAATGTACTGCACGGGAGTCTTTCTCGATGTAGAACAGGCTTTTGATCGAGTCTGGCACCCGGGATTACTTTACAAACTCCGTAAATTCCTACATCCTACATACTTCCTCATTATCCGTTCCTATCTAACTGATAGATACTCAAAAGTCAATCACAATAATGCTTATTCATCCCTCTTTTCCCAGTCCGCTGGTGTTCCTCAAGGTAGTATCCTTGGTCCTATCCTTTACACAGTTTATACAGCTGACATCCCAACCCATCCTAACACTGTTATTACCACGTATGCCGATGATACATGTGTCCTATCCGTTAATAATGACCCAACCATTGCATCCCAAACTCTTCAATCGCACATCACAAGCCTTGAAGAATGGTGTAAAAACTGGAGGATTAAAATAAATTCTAATAAATCCCATCAAATCACCTTTACCCTTCGACGTAAACCTATGACCTCATGTCCCACAGTATCCTTTAATAATACCCCACTTATCCCTGTTGAACAAATCCGATACCTTGGACTTCACTTGGACAAACGTCTAACTTGGAATCCTCATACCAGACTGAAACGACAAGAAACCGCTCGACGTTTCCGACTACTCCAACACTTACTAGACAAACGCTCTAAGCTTCCAGTAAATTACAAAAGACTTATATACATGACTACAATAAGACCTATTTGGACTTACGGAGTTGAGCTTTGGGGCTCCACTAAGCCATCAAATTCCTCTCGTATCCAATCCTTACAATCCAAAATCCTTCGGAAAATCCTCAATGCTCCTTACTTTGTCACCAATAAAATAATCCATAATGACCTTAATGTTCCTTATGTTTCCGATTTGGCCCAATCCAGATACCAATCTTTCCATAATAAACTTCAGAACCATCCGAATCCTCTCGTCTCTAACCTTGCTTCCTCTTCTATTCCTGATAACCCTCCGAGGCGTCTGAAAAGAAGATGGCCTCGAGATCTCTTATTGTAAATACATTTTGTTTTTAGAGTGCTACCAGTGGGTAGTTTCTCAACAAGTCATTTCATGTTTTTATTTTCTGTTATCAAATTTACTTAATGTATTTAATTTTTGAATACAGTTGTAAATATCATGTATAAATAAATAAAAAAAAAACAAAAAAAAAACAAAAGTAGTCATAATTTGATATTCCGAATTATTTTTTTTTCCTTTTTAACATGGCGTCGTGCTAAGATACAATTATGTTCAATAGCCCATTAAAGAGAGGATAAAATGTTGAATAATTCTCTCACTTACAGTATGCAGGTCTGATTTTTGGTTTCTGAAATATTTTAATTCATATATTCAATAAAACTCGTTTTCGCTTGGTTTTCGACACTATTTTTTTTTCCTTTTTTCCTCTCTAGCACGGCGTCGCGTTAAGATAAAAGTTTGAGTAAAAGCTCATTACTAAGATGATGAATATTTCTCTCACTAACAATATGTAGGTCCGATTTTTAGTTTTTGAATAATTTTAATCCATAGACAAAACACTTCAATTAATCGACTCCAGCCGAATTGGACGGCTTAATCTAAGCACACTCAAAGCAAAAAAAAAAAAAAAAACCGTGCGAAATGCGTCTAAAGAAGTTGTCATTAAGAAAAATCTATATCGTTATATGAACACTACAATTTTTAAACTGACATATTAATTTAAATTGAATAACAGTTTTGTCGTTAAATACGAAAATAAAGGTTGTGATGAATTACAGCTGTTGACCACACGTTTCATTACAGCCACAAACCCTGCGGTGACTGGTTTGGCAAGCCATGTAATTACAAGGGTTCTCCGTTCCTGAGGACATTTAGTTATTTCTTAAACATGTAGAAAATCTAACTTAAGGTGGAGAAATGGTTAAAGTGTATTAAACAGATTAATAATTTATTTATTGTATAGTTAAGAGCATTTCATTGTTATAGTTTTAATAGTAAAAATAGTTAGAATAAAACCATTTAATAAAAAGAGTTTACCTCATTAACTGTCAACCATCCTGGATATCAATATCAACATATAAATATATGTTATTTATTTTTGTTTATTATTAAAAATATTCTGACTTTGTTTTTATAAAATAGCTATGAATTAAAATAATAATAAATTCTGTATTTTTTTTCTTTCGATTTCAGACTTATTAATACGTGTTTTAGGAACTGAAGAACATTTATTTCAACTATTGATGATTAATATTCAAAAGGTTAAATATTTATAGTTCAAGAGCATGCTTATTATTAAAATTTAAGTTATGCAATAACCTCTTAAGTGGCGTTTCCACAAGTGTCTCCACTTAATGTCTAATTTAACATAAAAATTCAGTCAGCTAAGCTATTAGGTATTATTTAACAATAAGGTCGATGAAATTCGGAATTTTATTATATTTTGGAAATTTGGTGAAGTCATTTATGACCTTTTGACAGGGAATGCTTGTTTGCAATTATATAACTCATTTATGCCTGAACTAATGAGTTCTCAGAATCAGAGATATTAAATCAATTGAGCTCTCAGTTCAACAGTCAACAACAGCATCTATACAATATAAAAGGTAGCACAATGTTTCAATTAAGTATGTCAAATTTTATGGGAATCAGATCAAACAATGTCGAAACAATAAATTCCGTTTACTGATGAAGTTTAGAGAAGTTTCCGAAAATCGAATACCTCAAACTAGGATACTCTCGAGTTTCTAAATACAAAAATTCAAAATTTAACTTTTTTTTTATATAAATAAGAGAGAGAGAGAGAGAGAGAGAGAGAGAGAGAGAGAGAGAGAGAGAGAGAGAGAGAGAGAGAGTGAGAGAGAGAGAGAGAGAGAGAGAGAGAGAGAGAGAGAGAGAAGTTTAAGAGTATCGTATTAGGCTAAAATACGTAAAATCCATTTACGTTACGCTACAGTGGACTTAAGCCACTCTTTCAGTCTCCACCGCACAGCCCCACGGTTGTTCAATGTTTTTAGCTGAATATTAACCTTTTTTATTGTTTAAATAGCTCAATGTTATGTGTTTTTAATCACTTGAATTTAAATCTCGAATTAACTCGACTTTTTCGATGGAAAAATTCTAATTTCATATACATTAGCTCATGCATAATTACATGGATGATCACTTATGGATTGATTAGTCTAACGAATCTAACGAATTAGTCTAAAAAACTTAATGCGATTTTTGTTTAAATATCTTTGCGATGTCGTGCCAGTATTAAGAAAAAGGCTGCACTGCAAACACCGACTGGAATATCAATAAATTGGAGAAGACTTGGTTTGTGAGCGGTTTGTGCAGGTTTGGAGCATCGACAATATGCTCCTTAAGGGCATCTTCGTGAATCGCATTGTCGGCTCTAATATGAGTTAAACGAGATTTCGAAAATGGTAGTTAGCTTGCAAGGTAAGTAATTTATTTTTAATTACTGCTAGAATCGTTCAGTAGTCCGGTCAATGAATGATTATAGAATACAAAATACCAATTTTTGGCTTTGGGACTGTTTTTGGTCAAGTATGGAGGTGAACATATTGAAAGTTTCCACTTCTAAGTTGTGAGCCAAAGATGAGTTGTACCGAGCAGGACACTTTTTTCGGTTCTTATATTAGGGAAAATATGCGTTTCAGCGGTAAAGACTTTCTATAAAAAATTAAAGTTTATAAAATCTGCGAAAAGAGTGATAATATTTATTTTTTCGCTATCTCACATATTTTTCGAGACATCCGTGCAAGTAGCATGAAGAGATAACGAGTTGGCTAGTCAAATAAAGACAAAAACTTGGGTTAGATCATTTTTTTCAGATTGAGCGATTATTTACCATCAATATAAATAATACTATACAAGGCAGTGAAAAAAACAAACATAAATCTTGTAAATGTTATCAACTGTGTATAGAACGTCTTTATTTTTAAGACTCTTGTAAATGTTTCCCTGATACAAACAAAGTAAAAATAAAAAAGAAGAAAAAAATAATCGGCTCTAAGTAGATTGGTAGAAATATAAACGGAAAAATAGTAATTTTAGAAGAACTGTTGTTGAAGAAGAGACAGAGGTGGTGCTGCAATGGACCTCAGGACACTGTGGACTACAGGGATATGACACCGGACGCTTTAGCGAAGGAGGGAGCTACAAAAGCCTAGACCGAGAACAAGTAAATGCCATAAAGCAAGTAATTCGAGAAATGTCTACAGAACAAACTGCTTGAGGAATAGACAAGTGCTGCTTGCGACAAACTATTAGCCATGTTACTTGAGAAAGAGGTCACACCCCTATCAATAAATCACGAAGAGAAGCAGTAGCAAATTTTAGAATGAACAGTGACCATGATATTAAAAAAAAACATTTATTTAAAATAAAGATAGTGGATTCCAACATCTCTGCAAAAATGGATACGGCGCATATAGGAATCATGTATGTCAGAAATACGAACTCTGAATTCTTCTATATCAGAGGTATACTGGGATGCTAGAAGACTCATGGCGGAATCCAAAAAAAAAAAAAAAAAAAGAGCCATCAGAAAAAAAAGTGACTTCATATGTGCCCTCTTAATTTTTGGCTCACCGCATAGCAGTTAGGAATTTTAGTGTGTTTACCGCATTCCCAAAGTTACAAAGTAAAAAAATGTGTTTTTACTATTTTTATATTTATCCATTTTTTGAGGTCTCTGTGACTGCATTATATTTTTGTTTATTTAAACATATTTAGAATTGTTATTTCATTATAACAATGATATGAAGTATTGTACATGATCCAGGTATCACCTCGATCGGTACCCTCTCGCTTCTGTCCCTAGAGAGGTACCTCATCATCAGCCGGCCGGTGAGCCACGGGCAGCTCACGAGGAAGACAGCCATCCTCTTGGTCATGGCCGTCTGGCTGTACTCCTTCACGCTCACCTTCCCTCCCCTCGTAGGGTGGGGGGAGTACGGCCCTGAGGCAGCGAACCTCAGGTATGTATAGTCATGGTTGATACTTCTAGATATAAGAAAATAAATAAAATTAACTGAATATTTTCATTAAAATCTAACTCCAATTAGGTGTAAGATTTAAAAATGAATAAAATAACGTGTAATCGTTTTCACTAGAAAGTGGATCTTCCAATATTGATCATTCTACCATTTCGTAAGACTTTAGAGATTCAAATTCCAAAAAACAAGTTTTAAGTATATATAGATTTTTTCCACAATCATAACCTCTACTTTAATATTATGCATAAAATAATATCATATTTTTTTCAATATGTTTTTTTATTTGTTGTTTTTTAACGTCGCATCGACTGCTAAGGTCATTAGCGACGATCGTTCTTCTTAAATATAACTTATCAATTTTATTTCTCGAATGTACTTCAGCGTTTTTTCAATACCAGTGTTTTCCTTGTACGGTACCTTGTCAATTTGGAGTTCGATGTGCTGTTTCCGGAACTTTTTGCACTGGAATATGTGTTCAACTGTCAGATTAGCATTTTCACATACGTCACATGTTGGTCGATGTAAGCCAAGAATTAGGTGGAGATATCAATATGTTTGTAAATGTTTAATTTAATGAGCGGCCACACTATCATAGTTTATATATTTTTTATTTTCTAAAGGAACATTAGTCCCACTATAATAAACTTATTTTTCATTTCATTTACAATTTATATGCACAACCCAAAATCTAATATTTAAAATTTAAAAAATGTTTCTTGCCCAATTTAAACTTCTATCTTACTAACAATATTCAAATCTTTTTATTATTATACACGTGAATCTGGAATTTGAATTTCAATCAGTAAAAAAAAAACCATGTTCTTGCCTGAATAACCATAAGGTTTGAGAATGTTCGTATTTTTTTTTAAATAAACAATTTTTTTCAAGGAAAAAAGAAGATGGATAGAATAAATAGAATAATTGTTCATAAGAATCTATTCAACACAATGTTTGAATCGTTGCGGATCAGTTTAGTTAAAAGAATAGAATTTCTCATCTCAAATGCCAGTATTTTTGAATAACTGTAAATAAAGAATCATTGATCACGTAGTTAAAATTAAGAGATTGAATCAGCTTATAGCATCAATTAAGTTAATTTCTTACCATGGATATACTTATAACAATATATTTTAAATAGTTTGAGATATGAGGTCGGTTAGATAATCGATTTATGATATTTTTTTCCCTTCACTCCCATGTCGCGTCGTTTTCTTGGTTGGGCGTGTTTTTTGTGATGTTTTCTTGCTCTTCGAAAAAAGATAATTTGAAGTTAAGTGATTTTATTTTTGAATATTATAACCAGATAGAAAAAAAATACCTCTACACACATTTTTTTACCAAGCAATGCATATTATATCCAATACGATTAAATCTTAAGCTAAGACAAGAAGACAAAGCAGTTGCTGGATTAATTCCAACTTGGCACAGCCCCACATCACCAATTCCAATTTGACACAGGCCCACGCAGAGCAACGAGGTGCCAGGCGATGTTTTAAGACAAATAGAATCCCTATCATTAGGGACCGAAATTATTTGTATTATCATATCTTTCTCTAAGTCTTGAATAAACTTTTTTTTTACTGTCTTTTAATATGTTTCATACGATTTAAACGCAAATTGTGCATAATTTATTTTAAATATTTGGAACTGGTTCGCATGATATAGAACTATATTCATTAAAAAAACAAAACAAATGAAAGCTCAACTGAAGCAAACTCGCAGCTAATGCCTATACATCAAATTTTCTAGGAAATATAAATAATACAGATAATATAATATAGATAGTATAAATATTAATTGAACAAAGAAAATTCACATTAAAAAATAAATAAATAATTATCAGATATGATAAAAGACCTTGAAAATTTAAACAAGACATTACGGTAATAATGGGATAGAGAAAAATTTAAAAAGTTTGAAAATTAAAAAAATATTAAAATTTTCGTACCAATTTTATTTTGATTGTTTAGAATCATATTGTTGGTCTAGACGTGTTCTAGTGGAACTATTTTTTTTTAATCTATAAGGCTAATCAACCACTTAAGTCCTAGTTTCAAATGTACATACGCAAAATCCCAATTAAAAACTTTGTCTAAAGTTGAGAAGTTTTAGATTAGATTTGAAAACCAGCAACTAACTATGAAAATTGTGGGAAAACATTTTACTTAGAGACTTATTTTTTTGGGGGGGGGGAGAGGGGTTAGAATCTATTTTATTGAGTATCATAACATTCTATCACAATAAGGACAATAATTGCAATGATGAAATAGTTCATTCACACAATATTTACAGAAGATATAAATAAATAAAACGAAACAAAAGCAATACAATAACTAAATAATAATATTGAAAACTAAAAGTATATAACATAAATAAACATAAACATAAAGATTTTATTTTTTTTTTTATTCATGATATTTACAAATAAAAATACATTCAGTAAATGTGAACAAAAGAATACAATAACTTGAAGCCACTTGTTGAGAAACTATCCACTGGGAGCACCCTAAAAATGTATTTACAAAAGGAGATCTCGAGGCCATCCATAAAGATAAGAAAAGTAAACCCCTAACAAAGAAAAATAACACCCTAAACATAGAAAAAAGGAACTCTGAACACGGCTTGTTCCTCCTCTTATTACACTATCTGTGGATATAAAAGAGGGAGAACGAATTAGGAAATTTGAAAAATAAAACCAATAACTTTTAAGTAATTTGGATTTTATAAATATTTTGTTTGAATCGAAAGAAATTAATGTAATATATTGTGTTGAATTAAAAATAATCTAAACAAATGTATTGAGAAAAAAAAATTGGAAAATATAACTATTTTCGTAAATAAACATTATTAAATTAAATTAATACACTTTAAAGTTTCGTTTACATTATTGAAATTTTAGATAAATTTTTCTAATATTCAGGATTTCTATTCTTGCATCTCTCATATATATAAAAATGCAACTACATATCTATCTTTTTATTTTACATGAAAATTCCAAAGTTGTGTTAAGACTTAGGCTGTGTAAATCTTTTGTGCAAAATGGGACATATGATTTCTCAACCATATATCTCGTTTGAACTACTTTAGATCATGATGGTGTTTGTAATATTTATATTAACGACTTTCCTCAAACCCATATAAAGCTTCGGGCATAAATATTTGAGCACCATTACCATAGTGGACACTATCCTCAGAGAAGTGAGTGCAAAGTTCTCTAGTTGGGTAGTTATTTATGTGACACATTATTACTCTAATTTTCCATATGCCTTTATAAGCAGGTTCGACCATTAGTAATGACGAGGGACATTGCTGTATACATGCATTTTGGATGTATTTGCTGCATATCCAGCATTTTACATTAGGCGGACCCAGATCCATTCAATTAGCGAGATGTTCTATGTTCTGTTTAGTCCCGCTCTGATTGAACTCGGTTTCTACATATAGTTAGCTCCATTCGTCTAATTATCAGCTTCAGTTTTTTAGCTTGATCTGTTCCTTTTTCTCCATTGGTCCCTATTCCTTTTTCTTTTTTTTCTTTATCTCATTGGCGTCACAGCTAGAAGTGGACTCTAATTCTCCTTAATGAGCCTCCCTTAGACACTCGCTTGCAGCCACTCTCCAATTACTCAGAATTTGGACAAATTTCCTCCTAAAATCTTCGTCTTCCCTTCCAGCAGTTTAAGAATCAATATTGCTTATAAGCCTATCCATGAATCCCGAGTTCATAAATCTCTTTATCATAGTGCGCCCTCCAAAAGGCTTTAAAGAATGTCTTTCTTTTGAAGTTATGTTACATTTTTATAATGTTCCTCTTATGAACAAGCCAGATTCCATATCCATGAAGTTATTGTCATCCTAATGCATTTTTTTTGTATTGCTTTTTTCCCTTTTTCGCCTTTTGCACTATACACAGTTTTTCGGGCCAGGGGGGAGAGCGGAGGATTAATGCCAGCATTGCCCTCCCTCCCTCTCCCTTTCCGCTAGGTTTTACCTGAATCTCATAACAAGAGTAATAAAATATCATTATTCGGAAAAATATTTGAAGATGGAATTTATTGGAAGATTCTATCTGTCGACTGCGTCAAGAGGATAAAGAAAAGGCTGAATCTGTTGTGTGAATGTGAAGCCTTTGTCTTTTACTTATTGGAGCAGCTAAAACAAGAAATAATCTAACGGTTCGGTGGAAGTAAACATAGTTTATCATAATTTCAATTAGAACAATGAGGTTTCATGGGATTCCGAAATAACGCAATACTTCAGAATTAATCTTTTAATCCGTATGCGCTTTGGAATATTGTTGAAATATGGCGGTGATCATATTTTATTCTCTTAAGACCTAATATCGTTCCGTACTAAATGTTTAAAAACTGTCAGTGCTTTTTAAGGATTAATGTTTGGCGTAGTGTTGCCCAAAATCGGTCTAGGTCTTTCATTTCATTTCATTAATTATTAGATTCTTCCTCATGTCTTAAATCATAATTTTCTTTACAATGACATCACATATGCTTGTTCTTAAGATTATGATAAATTTGGATGAAAATATAAAGAGAAAAATATTATTAAATTTGGTGAGTGCTAGTTGTTCCATTAACCACCATAACTTCAGTATAGCGTTGTCCGAAATCGGTCTCGGTTTTGCACTTTGTAAGACCAAGGCCGCCTAACTGTTGCAAGACCAAGACCAGGACTGGTAAAAAAAAATCGAGTTTTAAATTAAAAATTAAGGTAAAATAGTTACTAATACTTGACAATCTTAGTTACTATATGTTAATAATTGGTATAATCAATATACTTTTGCATTTAACTCCTCTAATTTTTCATTCGAGCTTAGTTAGGTTTCTCCTATCTAAAAAAATACAGTAATATCTCTATAGTAATAAGCTATTAAGTAACTGCAAGACTGTTGCGAGAGTCTTGCGCAAGACCAAGACCATGACCAAGACTGAGTTTGCAAGACCATGACTCGGTCTCGCATTTGGGCAACACTAGTTTGGCGGTACAGAATAGTTTTAATATTTAATAATACAGTTTTTAATATTTCCCTTTTACCATCATACCTGGTCAGAGATGTCTTGTTTGTATAAAAATCGTATATTTTTTTATTTTATTAACAATAAAAAAATATACGATTTTTTTTACAGTGCTTGTTGTGGTATATTGTGAATTTTACTTGTTATCAACAAATTTTAAATACCTGTCAAAATGGTCATTGTGTGATTCATTATGAAATACCATTTATTAATCAAAGACCAAGTTTCCCATTATTCGAAGAGAGTAGAGGAGAAGGAAACTTAATTACAGTTTTTATACATGGGTGACCATTTGATCTCCGCGGTGCCTTTGATGTGGTCATCGAGCTCCAACAACTTAGCACAGCGAAGAATCGTGAAAGCTGGTCCATTGATAGATACTCACTGATAAGGTTCGCCGAATAGCATCTGATGACATCCGATAGTCTGTGAAATCGAAGGAAATTAACTCCAATCGGAATCCTATTTCTATTCAAACTAATTTGCTTATTCTATTTTTCTTTAAACTTTTTGTTGACCTTCAGCAAATGGTTTAAATATATAAAAAATAAAATTTTCATTGGGAAGGATAGTTCTCAGTACTTCCACAGTACACTTGATTCAGTTACTCTTTTTAGTTAAGGAAAGAGATCTATCATTCAACGCCTTTTTAGTCTATTCTTTTAAATTTTGTAATTTATTTTTACTTATTATACGTCACCCTTCATGGTACATTGAAAATGGACTTGTTTAGTTTACTATCGAACGAATTAAATCTTTTAGAGCATAGATATCAGAACTGCAAAGCTGGGCTTTTTCTTAAATGATTTATGGAGTTTCTAAAATAAATTGTTGAATATATTAAAGCTAATTAAGGTATATAAAAACAATTATATCTACAAAATCTAGTATGTATTTATTTTATAGGGAGGTAATAATTATTGTGAGGTAAGAACACAGTCAGTATTTATTATTTTTTGTTTAAGAGCATGTACTAATTAGTTACTAATATAATCTAGGCTATATATATTTAACTAATTCTCTATTAACTTCCCTACCATAGTAACGTTCCGGCTTCCAAAGCCATTTTCAAGCTATCTTTAACAAATTTGTCACATAAATTAATAAATGTTTTCATAACATCACTAAGGAGTCCACCAAAATTATATAAGAATTCTTTGGATAATTGCCAAACCTCTGGCTTATTAGAGCGTTGCAATGCTGGGTTTTATCTTAATTAACTTACGGAGTTTCTAAAATACATTTTTGAATATATTACATCTAGATAACATATATATAATAATTATATTTAAAATAAAAATGTAGTATTTATTTATTTTTGTGTAAAGTGAAATTCTAATTAGTTAATTAAAAAATCTGAGCTGTATATATTTAACCAATTCTTTAGTTCCTTTGTTACAATGGCATCGTTTCGTTAATTTTATAAATTAATTAGAAGTTCACTTTAAAGAAAAATAAATATATTAAAAAAAAATAGAGGTTGCATAGGTTAAAGGTCGATGAGGTTTGGCATTTATTCAAAAAACATTTAAATGCTATTGATACATTCCTTAGTGATGTTATTAAAAAAAATTATTATTATATGTGACAAATTTGTAAATATAGCTTGATAATGGCATTGGAATCCGAAAAGCTTATTTTATTAAAAATCTAGTGAGGTGCATTACAAAACTCACTCTTATCACTATACTTTCATTAGAAAACAATTTTAAATAAATACTTAAATAGTAAATGCACTAAAGTTGGTATAAATTATGAAGATTGTGTGCACTATATATATTCATTAATGAAGTTAAAAATATTTTTAAAGCTTTATAGTTTTAAAACTTTTCATTTTACTTTCATGGGAAAATTTATCTTCCATTCAAAAATAGAATAGTATACAAACGTTAATTACTTTCCTTGACCTGATATATTATTTATTAATGTTCTGATATTTTTAGTTTTTTTAAAGTATATTTTATGCCTAAATTGCTAATGTTATTCTTCGAACTTTATATTCAATCTAGAATAACATTTCTTCTTCATTTTACTATCAAATTATTTCATAATTTGTATATGCTAATTTTTGTTTTTACTACTAACAACGGAAGACGTTTAATAATTTAAAAAAAACTGAATTAAATTTTCTTTAGAGAAAGAGATTCTGAAAATTCATCATTTACGCTCTGTTAGCCTATTTTAGTCAGGATAATTTTGTTTCTTAATTAATAACATTTAATTTTTCATTGATATAACGTGTTTTTTTAGAACATTGTAAAAATTTTATAATAAATGTTATATGATTCTTTTGGTATGTCGATTACGGTGAAAAAAGTTGCAGTAAACTTTCTAGGCCTACCTTAAATATGTAATTTATGTTTCGTATATTTTTTCTTTTCTGAGCTGAGTGATTTTGATTCGCGTTTTTCGGAAACTCTGATTTAAGATTTTTAATGATCATGATACTTTCCCTTAGTATATAAGTCATTAATATTTAAATTAAAGATTATGTCATATATATTTTGTCCTAAGCTGCTCGGTGAACTGGGAGACGAGAAGTCACTCTTCCACTTCCTACATCATTTACCTCTTCGTTTTTGGTTTCTTCTTGCCCATCATCATCATTTGCTACTCATATATGAACATTATTTTTACAATAAAAAAGGTAATCTTATATTTATGTCCTATCAAGTTTACAATATGAACTCCAATATCCCTTAATGAAGGTTCCTTCAGCTAATACTTTTTTTTTTTTCAAAATTATGTTTAAATTAAAAAATGGAGATATTACTTGTTGAGTATAAACCTTGAAAGTTAAAAGTTCTGGATTTGTTGGTTTTAATTATCACTTAGTTTAGTCACTTAGTAAGTGATAATTAAAACGATAAGAGTGATAAGATTCATGAATATTATATTAAAATGTTTTGGTATTTTGTCTTACTACCAAGTATTACTTGGTCTAAAGATGGCCACTGATTTTTGGCTACTTGAGTAAAAAAAAAAAAGAATATATCTACTGGGTGTTCCATAAGTAGAAGGAAATATTCAAAATTATATTTGATGGTAGTAGATATACAAAAAAGTCCATATAAAAAGTAAGGAATTTAAGATTTGTGTTTTTAACCGAGTCACGTTTTTTTTGTTTTTTTTAATATGAAGCAATAAAAAAAATACTTGACTGAAGTAATTACCAATTGTTTCACTATAAACTAGACAAAATTTAATTTGTACGGAATTTAATCAAATTAAAGGTAAATTAAATGTGTTTTTAGGCATTTATATTTATTACAATACATCCCATATCACGAAAAAAAACAAGAAATAAAATCTTTGTAACTCTTAATTGTATTAATTTTTGCAGAAAACACGAGTACTTATAAGTAACAGAATGAAAATCACATCATTTATTTACAAAAATTGAGGTGAATCTTAAAACTTGTCCTAATAAACCTCAAATTAATTCATATGAAGTTAAGATGAATCTCAAATGTTTTAGATAAAACGAATTTAACAATGAACCTCAATTGTCCAAATGTTTATTGCAATACATCCCATATCACGAAAACAAGAAATAAAAGCTTTGCAACAGTTAACCAGGCATTTTTGCTAAAACGTTGCTACTTTTAGATGGGCTAGATAGAAAATCACATCATTCATATACACAACTTAAGGTGAATCTCAAATATTTTCCTGATAAACCTCAACTTAATTAATATGGAGTCAGAGCTAATTAAACGATAAAGCTTTTGTAAAAGTGAGGTAAATGTAGTGCAGTTGAAATTTGAAAAAAAAATCATAAATAATTTATGATTTTTCTTTAAACGGAACTTTGCCTACGTAAATTATAATGTAAATTTTGTCTTGTTTCCTAAGGAGCAATGTTGTATTACTTAGTTCAAATCTTTTTTTAACTTATAGCTTCCTATTCAATAAAAAAACGTGACCAGCTTAAAAAAATACAAATCTTAAATTTTCTGCTGAAAACTGGGCAATTGTTTATATGATCTTTTTTTATAGATCTTTATGTCTACTATCAATCTTTTAAATATTTCCCTCTGCTAACAGGAAAACCTTGTATATATGTAAACAACAGGTGGCTATTAAATATCGAGACTGATGCTGCAAAACATTTTAATTTGATTTGATACATATTTATGTGTTATCACTTCAAGCATTTACCCCTGTACCCTATAAAGCTCCATGCGAATCTTCCAATGTCTGAAACAGTGATGAAATTCGTCCTCAGTAAGTTCATTTCAGAAAGAACGTGAGAGAACTAATTTTCAACTTGAATCTGCACAATCCCATGAATATCGAATAAAACAATCATCATTGAATTGAATCGTGGTCTGCTTATTTTAGCTGTTTTGGCTCTCGTTGAAGTTGGGATTTTCCATGAATCGGCTCTTCGTTTCATGATCATAAGTGAAAAACCACAATTCGGCGATCTGCTTTGAAACTAATAAGATTTGAGTCCGTTGAAGCTGTGAAAGAGAAATTGGCACTTATCCTGTAGAAACTGATCGAAGATGACTTCCAGCTCAGTTCCAGCTGTTTCAGAAAATTGATGATTCGTATGAAGCGTTATAGGGATAAAGGATGAGTATATATAAAATAAATCATTGAAGATATAGTAAAAGTATTCAAAATATTTTCTGTAGTAAAAAACTTCGACTTTATTTATTTAATAGAGAATAATGGTGTAATAAAATATGCCCACATATAGTCTAGGATGCAGTGACATGTTTATTTAACGGACGAATGTAAAGCTTCCGTTAGTCTTAATTGATAGTCTTTCTTGAGCAGAATTAGGATTTCTTAGTCTTGTAATCTAGACCAGGTCCATTTTAGATGATTTTGGACTTATATAGTTCCATTCACATGAAAGATAAGCACCTGAAAATTTTACAAAAAATATATTACTCGCTATAACGGTATAAGCAATAGCGATAATTTACCAATCTGCTGTTTTTTTTCCAAAATTACTATCAAATGCGAATAATTTTTGAGTTCCATTCAACCGACCGCTACTTAAATAGATGAGATTTTGAGCGAATGAATCGATTTAAACTTATTGGAAATGCTTAAAAATACAAAATATTTTAGTATCTGTTTAAGTTCTGAAAAAAAAACTTATTTCCGCATCCAAACGCCGCTTCTCGATAAAGACTATGATTACGGTAATTTGGTGTTGGTGCCAACTATTATCAATTGCCTCCTAAGTGTGTAATATTGTGTTGATTTATGAATCAGTTGGTGTGAACTGTATGGGGTTCGGACCACTGAAATTAAATGTTTATGGATGATTATATTACAATGGATGATTATATGACAAATGATTATATTGAATATAATGGATTCAAACAAAAAAATAATATGATGTAGAGATGGTTGACCGTGATATAATATGAGAAGGAGTTGATCGGGGGGTGCGGTCAAATAAATGCTAAATTATACAAATATTATTATTTAATTTTTGCCAACGTTTCGACCCACTTTGCTGGTCTTCATCAGGGTGTAGGATGTAGCACTGGGGGAGGCAGTTGAAAACCACGGTTTGAAAACGTCGGCAAAAATTAAATAATACTATTTGTATAAATTAGTATTTATTTGACCGCACCCCCGATCAACTCCTTCTCAAAAAAATAATATGTTTGCACTTTATGTCATTTTTAATAATTTTAGAAAAATAAAGAAATATCGCTGATCGCTGAAAAAAAAAAAATTGCAGTTTGCGATTGCCAGGTTGAAAGTGAAGTAATTTTATTTCAGACGAAAAATTGTATTATGGTGAGTGTGGAATGTGTGGTATTTAAAAAATGATTTTTTTTTTTTTTTTGGACTCCTTCCTCTACCAGGTTCATTCGCTTGGATTTAGAAAATTATATTTCTATCGTACGTTATGGTCAAAAAATAAAAGAGTATGCACACTTTACTGCTGCCTAGGTTTAACTGAACCGGAAAATTTGACTTCAAAATGGAGACCAATAAAATGGTGGTGAAGTCCAGAATTATATAGAAATGTTTTTTTTTTTTTTTTTACGTTTCAAGGTCGTTTACTTGAAAACTATCGGTAGGTTTTCGTACTTTCGTTGTAAAAATGTGTCATTTGGTCCTGGTGTTATGTATAGAAAACTGATGAACCCACTTTTGGAACTTAAAAATAAAAATATAAAATATATAAAGTTAAAAAATGAAATAAAATTATAATTATTGCTAGCATAGGTAGTTGTTGGAAAGAGAATAAAATAGACAAGAAATAGTTTTATTCTATTTCTGATGATGCATTCCTACTTATGAACTGAATTGATATCAGTAATCGACCGTTCAGAGTAGACACACCGCCGGGAGGGTGGCCAAGGCGGAGTCGAGGGTCACCTGGATGGTGGCCATCATGATCGTCGCCTTCTTCGTCTCCTGGACGCCCTACGCCATCTCGGCCCTCCTCATCGCCTTCCTCGACGCCAGGATCAGTCCTGGGCTGGCCACGGTACCTGCCGTCTTCGCCAAGACCAGCATATGCTACAACCCCATCATCTATGTCGGTCTCAACTCTCAGGTAATATGTTTTACCATACAAGACATTTATTTTAAATATGTACGACTTATTTTTTTTGCATGGAACGATTTTATTAAAAAACATAGTAAAGAAAAAAAAAACTTAATCTAACTCCTTCTTGTTTGTTGCCAAGTCCCACACAAGAAGATGACCGTCATTCTTATATTGCTCTCAGGTTATCTCTCTTTATATTATATTCCAATAGTTTTCTGTAATTACTTCATTTATCCTAAGGGAGATATTTATTTTCGAGGTATATAAGGAAGAATATTTGTTTCAGTGATTTATTCTTCCAATCATTCCACACAATTACATCATTACGGGATCCACTTATATCCCATCTTCAGACTAGAAATTACAACACATCGCTATCAATAATTATATATAAGCAATATAGCATTTGTTAATATAACTACAAACAACAATAATTTAATTTTTTTATTTATTTTGCCAATGAAACAAAAGATAATCATAACAAACAAATAAATGAACCTGGAAAACAAAAAAATGTCTTTAATACATAAAATAAAAAAAATAATGAAAATAATTGCGAGATAAACACCTTTTTATATAATCAAAACAAGATGAATAAAAATTTAAGTCCAATGAAGGGTATGGTAAATAAATTGAAACAAAAAGACGTAATATACAAGGTAGATTGTAATAATTTTGAAGCGACATACATTGGTGAAACAAGAAAAAACATGGGAAAAAGGATGAATCAGCATCTTAATGTTACAAAAAATAGTAAAACTGACAACAATACAGCCTTAGCCCATCATAGTATTACTAACAGACATAATTTCAACTTAGTAAAACCACACATTTTATACAAGGAAACACATAGAAAAGTAATAGAGTCAATATTCATTATTAAACATAATAAAACAGCTATTAATTTTAAAACCGATGCGGCTAAAATATAATATGATATGATAAGTCTTATGGAAAATAAGACGATGCGGGATACTGGTAAGATTGTCAAAATGAATAAATAAATTATTGTTGTGTGTAGTTATATTAATAAATGCTATATTGTTTATATATAATTGTTGATAGCGATATGTTGTAATTTCTAGTCTGAAGATAGGATATAAGTGGATCCCGAAACGTTATGATGTAATGATGTAATTGAGTGGAATGATCGGAAGAATAAAGCACTGAAAAAAATATTCGTACTTATATTTCTCTGTAATTTTTATCCATTTTTCTGTCACCCACTAAATTTGATATTTATACAAGAGTTGAAGCTATTAAATAACATGAGTATTGCTGCAAAATATTATTTTGATTTTATACATATTAACGTATTTTCACCTTCAACTCGTCTATTCATACAGTCTGCCGTTTTAAAATTTATACTGCATTTCACTTAACATATTCAGTGTAGCTAGGCAGAATATTTTTATTATAATTTTGAATTACCTTGTTGAGATATTAAAACAAAAACAAAATCCTCCCACTTCCAATTCTTTTCTACTAGATTCAAAAATCTGTATCTTGAAATTTAATATCAAATGATTTCTTATCGTCTGATTCAGTGTAGTAAAAGTAATAGTTGAAAGAAAAATTTAATATTAACTGTAAGTATTTTTATATTCTCTGTTGACATGTGAAAATTCAAATTTTAAAGGGAACAGTAGTATTTTTATTTTCCATCAGAGAATAAATTTTATTTTTAAAGGTTCACTCTAGTGAGCAGTGTCAAAAAAAAGTTTTTTGACACTGCTCACTAGAGTTTTTTGACACTGCCAGTGTTTCAACTGCCTCCCGCTGTGCCACATCCTACGGTATGTTTTGACTTTTATTGTGATTCTTTTCTTAACACACCTATCCTTCAACTATACACCTTATTATTATCTCCATGCAGCCTACCATTCCATTACCGCTTTCAAAAAACTGAATGTCAATTGTCATCTATATATAGTACAACCTGTTTTTGTTTCTTTATCATAAAATTATTGTTTTCTTATAGAGTTATTTATACTTAATAATCTATCCGAACGATATTACACTAATGTTACCCTATTAATCTTTCAATTTCTTCACTTCTTAACCTTTAGTCCCTTTATCTGTTTATTTACAATTAAAGGTAACCTCCACTTGCTTGTTATCCACTGATATCTTATTATTATGTTATCTTATCCTTATTTTAACTTTACTGTAACAATACTTATTCAATTTTCAATCTATTTATTCGTTAACATTCATTTATTCGTTAACATTCATGAATTTATTTTCTTTATCTGTTAACCCACAGTTATCTAATGTAATATCTATTAGTTTGTTATACACTTATTCCTTATCTTTTATCGCAATCTGTTTACTTTTAACTTACACGCTATATTCTCCTTTATTTTTATTTTTATTCCTACTTATTTTCCATTTATTTGTATGTTCTACATCTATACTTCTTAATATTTAACTACATCGTCACACACTATATCTCTGATACCATCTTTTATTTCTAGGCGTATATTAGGCGTTATGAAAATTAAAATAGATTAAAAAAATCACATAACAAATATAAAAATTATAACTATAACAATTGTACACTTTATGACATTTATAAAAAACTAGTAGGCCCGTGCGAAAAATTCGCACAGCATATTGTTATCAAATGCCAGATTAATAATAAAATAAAATAATGCAACCTATCAAAAGATAAAGAAATCAAATGTTACTTTATCGATAAATATAATCGACAAAGGAAACAAAAATTAATTTAAATCTTCATTTTTGTTTGGAACCAACATGTTTACATATTTCAGTATGCTGTATCTTTGTTAAAAATTGTCCGATTTCAATGATTCTTTTTTCCTTTTGTAGGGAATTTATTAATATTTTATGTAATCACGGGCATAACCAAGGGAAAAGTGTATAATTTTTTAGTTATTCGCAAATAAAGTTTGTTTTCTTTTATAACTTGTTTGCCAGAATTTTCGGGGTGATTGGATTATTTTGTCCGCCTGAAGGAGAAGGAAGCCTTCGAAATTGGTGGCTCAATCTTGAGATTTGGTGAAAAATTGACCTATGATATGACTTGCCGATCAAAAACACCATCGATAAATAATATAAGCTCCTCCTCCCTCGATCATAGAGACTATCCGGGTCTTGTTGTACGCATCAAACTCTTCTATATCCAATTTGTCCCGTATCGATCTACAGACCTAACACTGTTCAGGTATTGAAGCCTAGCAAAATGTTTGTATCGACTTTATTTATTTTAGAAAGAAAAACAAAAGTGGAGAATACGATTCGCTAGCCTCCCGTGAAAGTCTGAATCTAATGGTACTCCATTTATGGTATTTAAGCGTGACAGGTGCTTATATACAAAACCGATTTCGAGCCTTATTGTAATTATATATGTACGGATCTATTTTTATATCGAGTTGTGCTGTACCATAGAACAGGCAAATTATGGTTGTATATACATATATATGAGGAGCTTTACGAATAAAAATTGGCTAGTTATCATAATTAGATAATTTATCCTAATGTACGGATTTTAACCTCGATGAGGGATTTACTCGCTTGAAAGATGCTAAATTCAAGAGAGGAAGGGATGCCGCTGGGCACTCCTCTATCACGCCGATCAAGCCTCTACCTATAATCTTACCAACAGCAGACCCACTAATTGTCATTGCTTATGACAGGTGTGGGTGAAGAAAGTAAAAAAAAAATAATGTACGACAATTAATAATGTATGACAATTAAAAAATATAAAGCGACATATATAACCATAATATGGTGAAAATTTAATTCAGAAAGATATTTTTTATTTTTTAAATGTTTTCTATAATTTACATTCTTTGCGTAATTCACATTTATTTTAACTAATGGGTTCTAGTATTACAGGTTTTCCTCTACTCAATTCATTCTTTTAGGTTTTGATGATCTTGGCAACAAACTTATACATCATTATTTAAGGATCACCACACATATATGTAAATTGTTTTAAGGATGTTATCGTGAATACTTTGAATACATAAATACTTTGAACCAGTTATTATATATTATTTATTATCTACTCTTAAATAATTTTCGTTGCTTACTCTTTTCAAGTAGGCTCTTTTCTGACACCCATAAATGAAACTCAACGGACTGTTCTTGCAAAGTTATTGTCCATAATTCACAATCTCTAACAAATCTCGGTTTTTCAACGTTCTTCAGAAGTAAAGCTACAGCATGGGAGGGACAAATTGCTTTGGAAGAGGGCGCCTTGACGAATGGGCACTATGTGTCCGACCTACTAATTATATAGCTCACTGCTTGAGGCCTATAATTACAAAGTAATCTCTAACACAGATTACTCATCATTTGCAATAAAGAAAATATTGTTAGCAATAATTTTTTTTCATACAGTGTTATTTGCACTCTCATAGAAAAATACTTTCTCTTACAGTGTATTTATATGTAGGTTAGTGAAAATAATAATGGCGGTCTACGAAGACAATGTTAATTTTATTTTCTTAAAAATTGAGTAATATTACGTACTTTCAAAATTAAGGACATTGCTAAAAATGTGAGAATGGAAGTGGAGTAACTTACAGGGAGAGGATACTGTCTGTGGGTCCCCGATTTCAACCAATTTTTTTTGGTAATGCTACATCAAGAAATATTAGATGCATATCATCGCGTTAGTTCCAATGAGCTCTAGGGGCCTAGAAAAAATATTTCATACAACTACTAATAAAATTTATGTTATTTATTTTTGTTTTTGTTTTGCCCGTATTTTTTGGGTATTATGTATGAATTGATTTATTTTTTTGTGAAGAATAAGATAAACTTATTGATTATTGTATTAAATGAGTTATAATGTATCATAAAATACAAAAACCAAAATGCGCTTCTTGTAAGGTTGGCCAAATTAGTTTTTATGAAAAACCAATAACTAAATCATTCATAACTTCTCGGGATTTTTTTTTCCGAATTCGAGGTTAATACAACCGTTGAAAAGCTGAATTGCTATCCTTCCAGCCTACATTGATAACTTTTATAATTCATTAATTTTTGTTTTCGCTCTTCAATCCTTCATCCGCACCTGTCATGGTAGTGACAATTAGCAGATTTGTTGTTAGGTAGAAAATGTCATGATAGGAATTACGACTGTTTACATCCTAAAGTCGGGAAAGGAGATCTCTCATCCAGCTTCTTTTCAGTCGTCTTCCTATGAGCATTCCAGCAGTTGCCATGTCGTGGATAAGTCCATCGTGATGTCCGTGTAGTTTAAAGTGAAATCGGAAGTAGAGAGTACGAATGTGCTGGTCAATGGTTGGTTGTCTTAGGTCGGTATGTAAAGTATTGTTGTTGACATACCAGGGGGCTGCAGTTATTAGTCTTAAAATTTTGGATTAAAAAGATTGTAGTTTTTGTGAGTTTTTTTTTGCTAAACCGTAAATCTGTGAGGCGTATGTCCAAATGGGTTTGAGCAGGTAAGTTTATGTAGTTAGTTTTGTCTAATTTTCAATTTTTACTTTTAAAAAGTGAGTATAGTATTTTCAGTCGCTTGTTCAAAGTCTTTCTTTTCATTTTGACGTGTGGACATTAGGACATCCTTCTGTCAAATATTAGTCCGGTGTAGCGTATACTGTCCGTCTTGAGAAATGGGTTGTTGCTGATATAAACTGGTGGGCATATTTCTCGTCGAATTATAAATGTTATGTGTTGTGATTTGTTATGATTTAATCTAATTTTCCATAGTGAATACCAATTTCGTAAATTTAATGAGGCTAGTCCGGGATCATGGTGTTTTGTTAAAATTGTTGTATCGTCAGCGTAAGTAGCAGTCAATGTTTCAGAGGTGGTAGGCATGTCATGAGTATAGAAAATATAGACTAAAGGTGCCAATATTGATCCTTGAGGCACTCCTGCTGATACTGGTGGAATGGTGGAAATTTCTAAACTCTGTCGGAGAGAGAAATTAATTTTTAAATCAGAAATTAAGAAAAACTTCCCAATCAATTTTATTTTTATCTTTGAATTATATATTTTATAACAATAAACAATGAATTAATATGTGGATAGATAAAGTAATATGAAATCTCGGAGTGTATTTGAACTGGAAACGTTCAACAAAGTTTTTGCTTTAGTTGGCAGAGTGGCCTCGCTGTGACATGGGTCAGAGCTAACTATCAGATCTCAGATTCTCGAGGGACCTCTGCGGCCGTTAAGGAATTTCCCTCAGGGTTGTGGATAGCTTTTCCATGCAGATTGTACTGAATAAAATTTAAGTAAAAACAACTTTGAATAAATGCTTTGGTGAATAGGAATACTTTATTTATTAACATAAGAGAGCAAAGTTCGTGAAATGTACTGAAAATCAAGGTGAGAATAATATTAAGTTTATAAAAGAAAACGCTGAATCCCTAATCATTCAATGAACGGAGAATGAACTTAACCTAAAATTGTAGAATGATATGATGAAGGAATCAAATTTTTTTTAAAATTTATTTATTTATTTCTTCACCCACACCTGTCAAAAATATTAATGATAACTGAGATTCCTGTCGGGAAGAATATGAATATTAGCATTGATCGGCGTAAGGGAGAGGAGTGCCTAGCAGCATAATGGACTCTAATGAAATATATGGCACAGTCGCTTAATTGATGCGTCATTTATTTCTCTACACTCACCAAAATCCTAGTGCCGTTCGGTAGGGTAGATAGGGTGTATTGAAAAGTGTGAAGTGAAATGAATAAATAATAATAAATAAACAAGTATGTAGTAAAACGATTGTTACTCAGAATTGTACAATATTGTACACATCTCCGAAATTTCCTATTAGACGCATTATCTCCACTCTAAAACCGTTCAATCGTCTACGATATCTACTTCCATATAAGTTCTGTTAACTCATAGTTTCCTCCCTTTATAGTTAATTTCCTCCCTCATAATTTTCCCCCACTTCTGTTATGGCTGTATGATGTACGGTGGACTCTCGGGAGATTTCGAGAACAAACTTAAACGCCTAATGAATTGCGCACTACGATTTGTTTTCGAAATCTAAAGGGATACGCATATTACCCAGTATTACACTGAGTTGAGGTGGCTCTACCCATCCTATCGCCGTCAGTACTTCCTAGCCACCTTTCTGTACCAGATCATTAGAACTCATCGACCCTCCTATATTCTTCACAGCTTATAATTCAAATGCCCTATCCAATCCCATCCCACTAGATCTCGTACTTCCGACCTCTATCCTCCTCCTCACCGAACTGCTGCGTTTGACAAATCCTTTGCAATACAAGCCACCTCCCCCTGGGATTCCATCCCTGCTCTTATTGTAAATATATAACCTAATTGTAATCACACAGATATACAATCTGTACTTATAATTTGTTCTAAAGGGACAACAGTCCCAGAATATTAAAATATTTTTTCATTTCATTTCAATATTGGTGCCGTACGAAAAAAATGATCAATGTGCTAACCTTAATTTGTTGATCCATCCCCTTCTCTTCCCCATGTAATATTGCTACATCAAGGTACATTACATCGTCCCCCTTCTCCGAATATCTCATAATAATTTTCAAGTGTCCAATTGAAAGTTATGTTCTAGTGGCTTAGTACAGATTATCAATTCAGATTAAACACGAAACATAGACTCTAATTGTGTTGCATAACATTGAACAAGAAACAGTGGTTTTGTATTATTATTATACATTTTCTAATATAAAATTTTCTTTGAACAAAAAGTCGTGTGTAATCCTTAATAAAAGAAAAATTTAGATACATCGCTAATCAGAAATTTTCTGTTTTTTTTTTAAAGTCAGTTTTGAAAAATATAGTTTCGGCAATATTCTAAAATATTCTACGCCCTCAAAGTAAGAATGCTTAATGATAAGTTTTTGTAGAGCGCTCTTTCAACGTTACACCAACCTTCTTTGAAAAAGGCTTCGATGCCTTAAATTTTTTTCTAAGAGGTGTCATCGATTGTAATCAAGACAAAGGCAGCCTGGAGTGCTCTCTTCTTTGTGGATGGATACCCTCGTTATGTTGAGTGCTCAGATTATCAAACGACAGCGGTTCAACATTTTTTTTTTTACAATCAGAAACTACTGCTTAGGTTAATATTTACAGTGCCCTCAAAAGGTTATTTCAAGAAATAAAGATCAAAGATATTAATGACACAATACACTTTTTTATAATGTTTTATTTATTCATGTTATGAATACTTCTCCTCTTCCT